TATTATAAAAAAACCTCAGGAGACCATACCTGAAAGTGCAGTCTACAGGAAAAAAGTAACCTAAGGGAAAAATGGGGAAAATTACAAGGAATTCATTGAAGGTTTAGGATTCTACATGGACATGCACTTCATGTCCTTTTTCTGGTCAAAGCACGCGTCATTGTAGACCTGCGCGTTAGCAAAATAAAAAAGTTTTTTATTTGTTGTGTAATTTTAACGTGTTTTACATGTACATATAGATGGAGTACGGCTGAGTAATGTGTACAGTATTGCTTATTGGAGTTCCTCTAGGCCCCCATATAATTAGCCAGACACTCTTTTCAGCTGACGTCATTCCTGTATTGCACACTTACATCTGGGAACCAGACAAACAAGGTGGTTTTATGTCATGTGTACATCTACAATGCAAGTTGGACTTTTGACGAAAAAAAACAAGGAAATTCCAATCTTTACAAGACTTTGTACGGTGTTTTCCAATTTTCAATGGCATGAGTGTGAAGTGAAAACCAAGGAAATCAGCTGATCCAGGGAAAAGTTGCATTCCTGAATTAACTGCCCCACCTTCTCTTTTTGTTGACGCGTGTACATGTGTAGTTCAGAATTTATCCCTAACAGCTTTCACTGGTAACCAGAATTAGCCAGTTCCCCGGCCAGTCTCATGGGAGAAACTAAGCCAGGACTTTGTCAGGCAGAGAAAATAGTTGATAAACAAAAACTATTTACCAACCAAAACACTTTGTGCTTCAATCCCCCAGGATGAGTTATCAACAGTTTTTGTTGTTTTTGTTTGAGCCCGTTTGCTTTTTGCAGAATTTTTAGCGCAAGGAATAGGCAAAATGGGATACGCCACAAAGATCGCTGACTTGGCCAGACATCTTGGCCAGAATTATGCCAGACATCTGCATCTTGAACTCTGAACTGCAGCCAATCAGAAAGTGCCAACGATAGTCAGCTGACAGGCATCAACCAATCAACAACCTCGGCCTTTGTTTCTCAGACGGGCAACATCCACTGGCTGCCACACCCGGGGTGGCCTCAAATGTACATGTACACACATACTGTATCTGTGCGTCCATCATTCATCCCAACCCGACATGACAGTCCCAGTAAGCTGGGTGCTAGTCCGCTCTCAGACAACATGGATTTGGGCTCAGCTTTGGCGACTACATTCCTCCTTGGCATGGGCCAAAGTGGTTTATTTCCATATAACTGCCTGTGGCACTGCAGGTGAGAGGAGCACAGCAATTACATCACAGGGTCCTCTCCTCAGAAGAGCACAAATTATGTTCCAGCTGAAGGATACCCAACAAGGAAAGCTTATTCTACCCAGTGGGGAGCACCGGGATCAGCATAGCCACCAATTAGCACCAACCTGACCACAAGGCCCTGGGCCAGCAGATAAATATGGGGTCACCTAGGGTGACCAACCACAATGACCATCAACACAGGATGGAAGGAGGGGACGAGAGGGGGGACCAGACAGAGCGGTGGCTGGCCCCTAGGCTGGACATAAAGATGTCACCTCCTCATAATTGGATCAGCTTGTCTGATCCAAGTGGTGGATGGGCAGCATAGCTGACCCTATCAGGACACAGGGAGCTTGTGGGGCAGGCAGATGGTAGGAGTGTTTACAAATAATAACACAGGTGGCCTGTTTCCAACATGTACATGTACAGTACGTGTACCTGTAGGCCAAGGCAGTCACTGGTGTCATAGAGAATCATGCTACCAGTGCATTGCTACCCGGCAGGTTAAACTTGGCCAGTTAATGCCATACTCCAAACAGTTTGCACATGCAATATACGCTTTTCAAAACGTACTGGTCCAATCTCCCACACATACAAGTACATGTACCAAGGAAAGATGAAACAAATAGACCAAACTAAATATAGAAAGCAAGACATTCCCAGTTGCCTACAACTCAGTTCCATGCAAATTTGAATAAGTCGAATCTGAAGGGATCTACATAGAGCAAGTCCACCTAAAATGAAATAAATGGTGCCAGCGACAACGTGACCACTCTGCCCGGCTAACCTTCACCAGAGGTCAAGCCATGCATGGTCAGCCAGGATTTAAGGCCGGGCACAACAGCTTGTTGACCGAAGGGCTTCAATAAAATACCTCCAACAGCAGGGACAAATTGTGCATTGTAGTGTGTGCACACTGATAAGTCACAAAGGCTTTGAGGAGCAAACGTGACATACCTAATGGCAGGTTTACCATTTTCAGTGATAACGAGTATTAAGTAGGTTGGGGCATTATTCTAATCTGGAGTCTGGAAATGGGGAGGGTCCGATCAGAAAAACTTGCAAACACTCTACACGTAGATCCCACAGTGCATGTACATTACATGTACAGTGAGCACTTGGCCACTCACTAATGATGGTCACAGAATGACGCAAACCAAAAGCCACATTTTGTTCATTTCATTCTTGATGGACACTCGTGAGGTTTTCCTTTACTGATGATGTTGCATTTCTGACCACTTGAATATAGAAACTTTCCAAAGCTGTTCCATGCATGAACCATACATCACACACTGTACTTCCAAAATAATGTACACATATGGTATATAAAACAGAGAAGCACCAGTTACTATGTGTTTTTACACAAATGTTATTTACATAAATGGAGTTGGAGTTTTTTTAATTAAATGACACCAATTCTGTGAAAATCGGACATACCATTCTCACACAATGCACATTTTTTGACACAGGTCAGTAAAAAAAGGAATCCTTTTCCCACTGACACGCTACAAACACATCAGCGGACATGCGTAAGGCCATGAACTTTGAATGACCATAACATCAAAATCACTTTGTCAGATGAATATGGAACTTCACATCTGTACTGATAATGAAACTCTAAAACTGCATGCTGAGCTTCAAAGGACATGTAACTGGCCCTGCAACGGCAGCGTCCTTAGTGGGGGCATATCCCCCCCCCCCAGATTGTCCAAAAGGCTAGGCTCTTTGAAAGTTAAAGGAAAAGTTTATAAGCCCCTTTGCCACAAAACATAAAAGCAAATTGATTTTCCCTGAAACAAAACCAATGGTGCAAATTTCAACAACACCTAATGTTGAAACATTTGAAGCTCTCCATAGTGGAGAGATGAACTGAGTGGGTTATTTGATCAACAGAAAGGCGCATTTGCTGGGAAAGAAAAATGATTTCTCCAAGCAGTAATGAGTCCACTTCTGTTTTGACAACGAATGTGCATTCATGACACTCCCTTGGCTGAACAGAAAAGGTAGCCTTCAGCCAAATCAGCTGATCATAAATGACTCTTCAGTTTTTGCCTGACTACCCTGACGCCACGTTGTGCTGTTGTGTAAATTAATGTACATGCACATGTAAACTCTACCCCAATGTGAGTACAACCTTCAGGTAGAGTGCCATACTGGGTTTTTGTTCCTGTAGGCCTACAGTACAACATTTACGTCTCCCAAAAGATTTCTTTTATTTTAATAGTTTATAGAGCTTGGAACCCACAAGCACAGGCAATGTTTGAAATATTTTTGCACAAACTCAGTCTCAATTTGTACACTTTCCCCATTGTACCTTCGTGCCTGCAACTTCTCCAGCACTAGGGAAAAAAAGGGAAGTTTGTTTCTTTTGCATGCACCAGTGCCTGGGAACATAAACAGAAATCTGCATAATCACCATTGTTTATGCCATTGGCCTGCTCCTCTGTCAGGGTTCAAACTTTGCGAGATCAGGTCCCTTCTTTGGAATGAACAGAGAAATTGCATGGAACAAAAAACTAAATTTGGACTATGAACCCCGACGCTAGAGGCCTCTTTTTTCAGACATCTTCCAGCACCGTTCCAAACCACAAATGCAAAGAGTAACAATATTCTGGCAACACATGGGCATGATGTTTTTCACTCACCTAAAGAAAAAAGGAATACCACAAAAAAATACTTTGGAAACAAATAAGACCCAGCTTTGCTCAAAAAAAAAATCTGTTATTTCTGTCGGAGAACAATGAACTGATAATTGTACAAATAAATATTTTTACAAACAAGGCCTATGTACTGGTACATGTACATCAAATATTCATTTAGTATGTAGGTACATGTACATTTGCACGTAGGTGGCAACATGAACACAACACACTATCTTTACCTGCCACGAGAGATATATCAAAGAGAAAGAGAGAAAAAGGAAACAAAGGCCCCGGAGTGGTATTTCACTTTTGCTGGCCCTTGCCCAAGTAATAAAGATAATGTTTCGATGCTCTCACGGAGCCAGATTGTGCGGGCAGTTAAAAAACTTTTACAAAAGATTTGGATCAGCTCTTCTTCCTGAGGCGCTAATTGCCTCGTCCGCAGGACCAGATGCCCCATGGTGCACGTGATATAATCGGTAAGATTCCCAAACAAAAAAAAAGGGCAAAGCCTACCACGACATGCCATCCTTGCTCTTAGACAGTATGTGAGAAAGAGAGGGGAAAAAAGTGATCCTTCACAGGGCCAGGTTTCGCAGTTTGCCAGCTGTTATCTTATCACATTTCCATTAGCGCTGTGCAGAGAATCGGCCAATCTTCACCGGGGTTGGCTTGAATGAGTACAGTCACGTCTGAGCAGTAATTTGCATACTTGCATGTAAGCAGCTGCAACTTTTTTTTCATTCTTTGGGAGACTAGGAAATCTGGTGAATGCACTTGGAAATATTTTATTTGCATTTTTTATCTGAGGCATTTTCGGGCAGCAAAGTAATACCATGTCAAATGTACATGTACATGTATGGAACTGGAAAGCCTAACAGACCCAAATCGTACAAATTCAAAATCATTTTTCACATTCATGGATTGTAGGGGAGAGGGTTAATGACTACTGCATCGTAGACGATTTCAGAGCTTGTAGCAGAAATTTGAAAACAGCCAATTTACATGTACATGTAGTTGCTGAATCGTCGTTATTCTTGAATTGTGGTATGAAATGAAATGTGTTGGACTCAAGTGCCGCTTAGTGAGATACACTCAGGAGCCAACTTACCGTGAGCGACTCCCGCTTGCGTCCACTTGTGACAAAAGTGAAACCCTGGGTCTCGATGGCAACACCTGTCTTCTGCACATGCTCCTCGATGTACCTACATGGGACAACCAAAAGGGACAGAGGGGTTGGAGCAAATAGAAACAAAAATGAGAAGTAGAACTATTATTTACTTATTTGGATATGGGTAATTCCAGAAATTTGGAGTCGAAAAGTGTGACATTTTTGTGTCCCTGTTACATCTGACATTTGTTATTTGACATGGAAATACATGTGTCACCGGAATTGACGTATGGCATGTAATTTGCACTAATTCATCACTCTTGGAAATTAGAAGATGTGTTCTGAACTTACAAAATCACATGTCAGATGCAACAGGGACACACACAAAAAAATAATGGACGCCTCATTTCTGGAATTACCCATTAAGCTTTGAGAAGGCAGTTTTGTTAAAGAGAGACTGCACATCTTTTCATTTTGACAAATATTTGAGTCAAATATGAATATTATATATTCAGCACAGGCCTATGATCCAGTCACATAGTTTGTCATTGCACGTGGCTATTAAACATAAACAAGTACCACACGTGTATATTCAACAGTTCTAGGCAATGTCGATGTCGAGTCCTAAGAGATGTATTTTTTCAAAAGACCAGTCATACGCAACATCGTGAACAAAGACAAAGGATTGTTTCTGCCACAGTTCATTTGAATTAAGTTGGTGACGGACCTTAAGACGGAGTGACTTACGCTGGATTTGCAAGGACCCAACTATACAACACTGGTTGTGAGGTCCAGGAGCGATATTAATAGTAGGGATCCAAAACGCTGTGGAGACACACCAAAGTCCTCACAGCTTAGTCCAAGTTTTTGTAACAAAGAAGTTCCCCATGATGCCACACCAACCAGAGCACGAACACTTGTTCGTCCATAGTTGTGGAGATCATGCATTGTACACATATCTACAACCATCATTGTATATGTGCTGTAGGGACCAAAACTCATGTGCGGACGCCTGAAAGTCTTCATCCAAATTTTCCTCCAAAAAAAAGAAGAAATCTAATCCTCCAAACATCTTTAGCTAGGGCACTCACCCATAAACTTGTTCCACGGCTGTGGGGATCAAAAACGTCTGATAGTCACATATACTGCACAACTGAGGACCAACAATGTTGCAATATCACTGAAAAATCCCCCCTAACAAAGTCAAACTTTGCCACCAATAAAAAATATCCCCTGAAACACAATCGCATGTTATCGTTACGTTTGAGGACAAGCCATCAAATCTTGTAAAATAGTCTGACGACCACTGCCTGAAAAAACTTCTCAGTCCTTGTTTTCCCTTTCATATTGCTATCCTCGCTCAGAACGTAGCACAGGCCCAAATCCACCAAGAACAAATATCTTGATCAGGAGTCATCCCAAATGGTGTTCAAGCACGGCACTGTACTTTAAGAGAAGGTTCACACAACTGAAAGAGCAGGCAAAATATCTGCTGACACAAGTTCATATTCCAAGTAAAGGGGAACTGAGATTGAATAACACATTCCACACAATCTCATTTTTCCACCTTGAAAAGTAAAAATCAAATAAAAAACACAGATAAAGTTCCATGAATACCAACAGGTGTTGATAAAAATTGCAAAAGGAATGCAGATGTTTCCACATCACCGGTGATTTAATGGCACTGCTTCAAGCCCCCAACCACTATCAGTAAAGCCTGTAAAATTAATCTGAATACAGTTTACATGTACTGGTGAATTGCCGTCCTGACTATACACCACGCACATGTATACTGGGTATGGTCTTGTAACTGGTGTTCATTACTTTGGATCGACTTCATTTCTACTTTCAAACTAGTCTCCACCACTCCACTGTTCAACGTCAGGTCGATAAGCCGAGAAAATTCTCAGCAAGATAGGGGGTAGACAATTTTAGCATTTTTTTCTTCAAAGACCTTGGTGGGAGGGCACTGACATTCCTGCAAAATGTCAAAATTTCTTAGCAAATTTTCAAACAGGAAGTGGAAAAACAGGGTCCCTTCTTGCACTGACAATGATGGATCGTGATAGTGTAGCTTATAGAAGACAGAAACTTATAAATCTGCTATGACCAACTGGATAGAACATCTGCAGGTTATCATGTAGGCATGCAACTTGGACTTTGACAAAAAACAAGGAAATTCCAATCTTTACAAGACTTTGTACAGTGTTTTCCAATTTTCAACAGCACGAGTGTGAAGTGAAAAACGAGGAAATCAGCTGATCCAGGGAAAAGTTGCACGCCTGCATGTGTGAATGCGTTGTTCAATAAAAATCTGTCCATGAAAGGAGCAAATCGGAGGGGGCGGATAGCAGATGCCTTGGTTCTTAGGGACGAAGAGCAGCGACATGTCTTTCTCGGGTGTCTCCAAATTGACACACGTGCGCACACCCACCCTACGGGACAACATCTGTAAAACTCGGAAGACAAAAGGGGAAAGGAAATCTGTAAATTGGGATAGGGCCGATATGTGCCAGTCTCCTGTGGCGCTGTCTACCCATGACAATGTCTTCCCCTGGCAAACACACAGAGAGGTCGATGAACCCATGCACACCGTGAATGTCACCGCACAGGCTGATTCACGTCAACTCAAAAAGTGTTGACATCTGGACCCAAACATTTATGGGCCATGTGTAGGGGGGGGATACGAGTAGGTTTCAATGGACCACACAGGTACATGTATCTCTATGGTCATTCAAAAAAGCTACTGGAATGTTCAGGAGAATTCTGCGGGATGGAGGGAGGTCGGCAGAGAACAGCTACATGTATTACTTGATATGAAGGTTGGAAGTCCAATGAAAGAGCCGTGCCGTGCAAATGTGCAAATTCTACAGGGGTTGTTTGGAACTCAGGCTGTCATGCCTTGGGAGTTTTAATAATTCAACTACAGTTTTCAATTTGCATGAAAATGTAAGTACATGATTGCAGAGTTGGAGGGGGAATCAAACAAAACCTCCATCGTTCCAACCTCAAAACATTTCATTACCTACATGTACATCAGTACATGTACGTTGTAACTTGCAAATCCACGAAAGTATCGTACGTGTACATTTAACAACCTTTTCATGCAATCTGTTATTTTTATGCATTTAAGTGGGATCAGTGTTAAATGTACCAAACAATTTTCAAGCCAAGGATGGTTGAATAACCCACAGTGGCCCACCTTCAAACAAACACAAGCCAGCAAATCACCACGTCGTTGATATTTGACTGATGATGAGTCAGATGCAAAAAAAAAAAAAAACCTTTCTGTGTTTCAGGGAAAAAGAGCTTATGAGGTCAACTCTTTGTCACAGTGTGATATAATGCATCATCATACAGGTACACCGCAGAACTAAAACGAACGGCATAAATGCAGGTCAAACTCTGATGATAAGGTGTGCAGTGTACTATACACTTTGAAAGCAACAATTACACGTATATCTTTGATGCTGCTAAGTGATACGTAACCTCATATTCACCACACAATCGTTTGGTTTTCCAAGAAACAACGTACTGTATGCATATTTATTTCTCTATACGGTTACATGGTACACAGTACAGGTAATGCACAGTGTATGTGTGGGTGTGCTTGCACACAGAATGGACTGTGAAGCAAATGATCTTTTGTCAACATCACAGAGTACAATTCTTGGGACAATTTGGGGCACAGCGTTCCCTCTTCTGTTTTCGACAGGCTGCTAGAAAGGCGCAGACTATTTACCAACCAGTCGGCCATTGAACCGACTATCCACTTTCACCCGACTGTGTACAGCTAAATTACATGTGCACGGTCAATTGACTGGCACTTAACCGCACCGCCATCAGAGCAAAGCACACTGAGGAAGTTACATGGACTGCACATGTGTACCCCCAAGGCACGTGTGGGCACGCAGGCAGTTTTTCCACTCGCAGTGAGCGGACTCCGGAAAAAAAGAGGGGGGATGGGGAAATTGGAGGGAAATCTTCCATAATCCACTTTCATGGGGCCCGCTTTCCGCCATGCTGAACACGCATCCAGGACCAAGGGTTAATAAAAAGTTAAATGACTGGAAAACTTCCAAGTTTATGAAACACCAGTAATATCAGGTCCTCAAAACTGTAAGCACAGCCACGTGCATGTAGGTACTGCACGGGCTCCATGGATTACCGGTACATGTATATTTATGGAATACTAGGAAAATATCTTTGCACTGACAAATTTTTGACCATACACTCTTCATTTGTTCGGGAATCGGAAATCAAAGCAATATTCTAGTAACTTGAAAAGCTGAGATACATGTGTGTTTGTAAAGTTCCAACTGTAACTTTTTTCCAGGGAAAAATCGCTCCTTTTTTTAATATTCACTCAAACTGGTATTGATTACATTTATAAAATGTGATATATGTGAATGTAAACTGTGTACAACACAAAATTGGTAAATATTAGGATCCTGAAGTTGCATCCAAAAATCCAAAAGGTTGTGTCAAGATATTGGGCACCAAAACCAGACCTAGGGTTCACTGATACTGTAAACTGAACAGCATACAGTACATGTTTACTGGAGCTACATGTCATCTCAATGCCCCACTGTACGACTTGTTGGAGATGGCATTAACGGTTATATCCAGAATTGCTTTTAACATTCACCAGATACTTGTACTTAGCGTATTTCTGGGAGGGAGGGGATTTCAAAACTCCACAATTCAATAGTCTGCATGAACATTCCATATGTTCCACATTGGCAACACTACTCACAACATTCACCACGACAGTTTGAAACTGACTGGTTTCAACCCTCTGCACCATTTTAAGGGCAAAACGTTTTACTTCGGAGGCCCCAAAATGGAGGCTCCAAAACAACAGAGTGTTCACGGAAACCCCCTTGGGACATTCAAAGTTTAAAGTACTCTTTTTCATGCTGTAAATTTGTACACTCAGCAAACATTTGTAAGATCACACGCCTACCTTTAATTCAGTAATGACAATGGAAGGGGAAACAACAGCCACAGGAGATAACAAAGAGCAAAATTTCTCTTACTTTTATCGTCCGACGGTGATAAAATCCAGGATCTCTGCACAGAATGGAGGTGAGGGCACACGCATGCACATGACTGTATCTGGCTCAGGTTCACCTTGGTCAGGACATGGATTTCAACACTACCAGCACACCCATGACATCCGTGTGGGATGCTTTGGTATTGCTGCTGTACATGTAGCAGGGCCAAATAAGTCCAGTTGGAGATTTTTCTAGCTTCCAGGAAAACAAGCAAGGCCCAGTGACACTCTATACCAAGCACATGTGCTTTTCAGAACAAAAGTCCCTCCACAGCTTGTCTTGCTTCATCGCTGTCCAGGCTGCTAGTGATCCACCCCACGGCATGAGCGACAGCAGCCCTGGTCAGTTCACGCCCTGTCACCATGACAGTTCCCGCCACTTTCTGACCAGCGGTGGGGGCCCAGGACCCAGAGTTAATAAAAAAATCCCAAGGCCCAGTCCAATGCCCCACAATCAGCCACGCCAATGCCCACTGCCAACAGCCTTGTGAGCACCACAAAAGCTCCACGTTAACTGACACACCAGTAGCCAGCGCCACTGCCCACTGACACAATGACAAGCCCACTCCTTCTCCAACTACATGTACATGTACATGTACGTGCATGAAGCATACGCTCACAAGGCACACACACACCACACACACAATGCCACGCAGTTTGACCCCGTGAACCACCAAGACCGCAAACACATGTGGGGCCGCGGCCTTCAGGCCTTGATACACATACTGGATAACAGGCTTCTCAAACTGTTTGTGAGACCACTCAGAGGACAAAGGATTTTGGGCCCACCAATCTAAACTGACCAAGTACAAAGCTGTTAGGAAAACTGCCCATGAACCGACCACTGCAGCAGTTCAAGGAACATAAGCAGATCAGAGTCCACAGAAGTTACTTGCAGAATAACAATTTCTCTGCTGGGCTGTGTTAATCTAACCTTGTTTTTCATTAACAAGAAAACCACAGATATTCCAAAGGCATGAACTGTACAAGGTGAATTGGTAATTAAACACTGGTGACCTGACCTTTCAGCTTATTTACGCAAGTTCTGCTGGCAATTTCAGACCCCTCCCCCATTAAAAATAACAACAAAAAAGAGCGAAGGAAACAAAATAACTTACAAAAATTCTTTAAATGCTTTTTGTGGCTCAGATTAATAAATCGTCGGTCAAAAAATCAGCAGTCTAAAGCCTGCTCCAAAATGTTTAATCATGAAAATCTATATACAGGTCTGAGTAACTTTTTTCCCCAAATTCAACCAAGAATGAAACATATGTGAATAGTCCACAGGGAAGCTTGAGATGAAGCAATGTAACTCTATTCCTCTTCAGTCTGGGGGGCAAAAAACGATGAAGCTTACAAAAAAGCACGAAAACAAAACAGATAGATAGCCTTAAAATTGAACCTACCCCTCACGTTCTCAACTCCAAATGCAGGGCCCGGTGCTTTCAAGGGTTTTGACTGTGGCTTTCAGTTCAGAGTGGAAAGATCTGGCATGAATTGTAAAACATGTCAGCTGATCCACTTTGGGGAATTTCTGAAATATTTATAAAATCACTGAGGAGGAAACAGGAGACGTATCCATTTGGCCAATGGACTTTAATCTACACAGCTCCTAAAATGTACTGATCCCGATTCAGTGAAAATAACCTTCTTTGTTCCCTTTTAAAAACTGCTGTAAGGAAAAAGGTGCACACTGTGAAGGTCAAAGAAAGATTTTTTCTTACAGTTATAATTCAAAGTCAAAACGAGTGACCTCACCACTTGTAATTTAATTTCACACGAATACACTGTATTCAAAATTAAACTTTTGTGTACTGTATTAAGAACTTTAGTGAACTTTCAGCAAAACAATGTGTGCGAAGAGTTTCATTATTGGTGTAAATGTACAAGTGTATTTGGAAATCTGAACTGACAGACTTTAAAACTGCATAAACTCCTTGTAACAGGCCATCCTTGAATCTACATGCACAGTAGCTGCTTACCTTCCACTTATGTTCACCTTAAAAATACACTGCATGATGCTGGATCTCACCAGACTTATATATGACAAATCTCAAACCTTTTTGCACAACATGTCCCCAGTAAACAACATGTAGCCCCAGAGTACACGTATATAATCCACCTGCAATCTGCAAACGTGTATCTGTGTTTCTTACATGAGTCCACTTTTGAAATCAACCGAGCTGGTTTTTGAAATAAACCATCCAAAAATGACATAAACAGATACGAAATGGATAGATACGCATGTAGTCGTGAACTGCAGGTTGACAAACACATGCGAATGGATCAAAACAAGAGATTGATCGTGTTCTTGCACAAAAGTTCTTCTTCTGTTGAACTCATACAGTCCCAAGCAGAAAGTTGGTTTAAAGACCAGCAACTTTATGTGGCGAGCGGAAGACACAACATGGCACTCGAGGAACTGGCCAGGATGCGGCAAATCCTCATGGCCGGCCAATAAATACTGGCCATGGAAAAAAATGGGCTGGGAAAATCCAGGGGAAATACTAAGCAGGATAAAGGAGGCAAGAACCCTGCCGGGGAATACCGGGAACTTCTAAGGAATTCCTCTTGTATGAATTTTAGATTGGAAGGACTCTTTTCAAAACCTTAATCCATTTAACTTAGGCAGATTTATATTAGGGTTCCAAAAAGAAGTTCAGAGTTTCAATGGAATGCTTAAACAGATCTCTCCTCAGCCCTGTACACATGTACATATACATCTAGGCCTATACATCATGCAAAGGGACTGACAGTACCTTATGTATACATAAAGACAGAACTGAAATTTGAATGCATTTTCAGACAAGCTTCTCCTTCTTCTCCTCTTCCAGTTAAATGAATGTTGGTGTTAGGGAAGTTTTCAAATAAAAACCTGGTCACAAAATATTTCACGTTTAAAGGTGTATACCGCGTGTGCATGCATGAATGTGCACCCCCCCAATGCTGAGGTTGGGAAATACTTGTAGCAGTAGTTGTTTTTTTTACTAATTCTGAAAAGCATAGATTTGAGACAGTACACAGAGAAGGGGGCCTTCATGTTAACCTGTTTCCCTGATTGTTTTACATTTTTACCATGCTTCGAGCCTTCCATAACCTATTCTTCAGGTGCATCAGCATGGAGGCTAACACTGTATTGAAGGGCTACAGTGACTGTGTGGGTTTTTGAAAGCAGAGTCAATTTTGAAGTCAAAAATGACAGGCACATTTTATTCATTCCTTGTTCGACTACGCAAGGAAACAACTTTGTGAGAACACGAGATGCTCTGCTGTTTTACTCAAAAGCTACAGCCTGCGCACTTGTTCACATGAGTCAAACGTTTTGGGATGATGAAACACTAGCAGAAATTTACAATTGGAGAAAACACTGCTAAGCATGACTGGTCCCCTTCACTGTGTTTTGCATAGCACACGTGTACCCTTAAAGCTTCGTTGCACTGCAGGATAATCTTGCCATCAGGCCACTGTCTAGATGTACAGGAAACAGCTGCTGTCAACCAACGTACTTGCACAGCACAACCTCAATCCATCATGCAATTTTTATTTTTTTGGGCCCCGCCTTCCAACAGGAAGAGTCATAAATGAAAGAGGAAGTTAGTGGGAACAGGTATACAGACATGTACATGTAGATCACTTTTGTCTTTCTCCTTCTGAGTGTGTGTAAGGATACATTCAGGACTGGCCAAAAAAAAAAAAAGCCCACTTGCTTTCCTCTCACCTGCCAACAAATTAACAGTTGAAGCACTCTACCACCTGCTTTTTGAGCAAATTGATGTCAATGCTTCAACAAGAAACTCTTATTATTTTATTGAACTTGTGTGTGGACCATGTTGCTCTAAAAACAAGTTACACATAAGTTGTCTTAACGGCCATCTTTCACAGAACATGAAGAACCGTACAGGAGAGACAGCGAGATAGATCATACCTTACATGTACGTTTTTCGTCTCCACTTTTGCAGTTTAAATTTTTCTTTCTTTTCATTTTCTCCCAATGTCCAGATACTCATTCACAAAGTCAAAAAATGAAACTGCCAAAGTGACTACAGATGTCTTGATTTTTTTTTAAATGGCTCATATGTACGCACAATGTGCCAAAAGATATTGCAGTAAAACATACTGCTATTGTGTGACAACCAGAAGTAGTAAGTAAGGACATTTGCCATTTGTAAAAATCAACAGCAGGGAAACAGACATGTAGTTTCTCACTGAACATTCTCCGGTTTCTATCACATGTTCACACTGTGTTTCCCCATTTCAATCAAACCACAAGAGCAAGTAATCTTGATTTCATTTTCCTACAAAGCAACAGTCTCTGACTTACCAAACGCTTCACCGAAAACCTGGACACTGAAGGAAACTGACAATGTCCCCCCCCCATTTGTGCACGTAATGTCTGTACTAGGAGTTTTGACAGAGAAATTGCAAGATTGTTTAACATACTGGATAAAAAAATAAACAAATATAAAAAATGAACAAAACAGATGTCCTAATACCAACAAATTATTATGCACATGGTGTTATGACTGGTTTGCATAAAATAGAGCCAAATTACCACGGACAACATCTGCCAACTTGTACATCATGAATCCGGTTCAAATTCAGGAAGTATTTAAACTTTTTTCATGAACAATCAATAAGCCAGCCTTTTGCAACGCTTCAACACAGTAACACTCTGAACAGTTTGTAACGGGAAGCTCACCAATTAATGAAGGAACTCTTGCCAGCAGAGTGGTTCCCAATGAGCAGAATGTTGATCTTTTTGCGGGGCGCCAGCAGACGGAGACCGAGCTTGTCGGCGATTTTGATGAGGCCTGTCAGGAAAAAAAAATTTACAAACCAATACAAAGAGCTGTTACAGTGAAGTATGCTTGTAATGCACGATATGTAGCCATGGCTCAAAACATGTTTGCTCAGTGACAAAGCTTCTTTGTGACCAGGAAGTGGCTTGAGAATGATATTCTTCATGTACTAGTACATGTACCAGTCTGTGAGGTTTTTTTAATATTCATGAGTACTTTTGTCAAGTCATTTTACTGTGAACAATTCCACAAAAACTATGAAACACTGGTACATGGACAGTATGTAATACACATGTATAGTAACTAATGGCAGATGGGGTTTTTAAGGGGATTGATGAATATTACATTATACACGTATTATACGTATTATACGTGTTTTTTAATCACAAATATTTTTCTTTTATTTTAAACATGAATTAAAGCTTTTAATTTTGGGTTCATTTGAATTTTAGTTTCTTTCCTTACATGTATACTTGAACCTACATGTAAATGGAATTCTCCGAGGCTGCCTATTTTACAGTTTTAATGAAATCTTTATATTGTCAATTATGATTTTTTTGGAAGATGAATGAAGAGTTTAAGCTGTAATCGACTGTGGCTTTCATATCTCAGAGCCCCAAATGAAATAGGTCTTCTGTTACTAAGGGGGAACTTGGTTTGACAATACAGATAGATTGCACTCGCATGTCAGCCACCTAGAATTGAAAGTGAGGTACATGTAACAGTTTTAATTAAGCAAAAGAGAACAGCTTCCCATGAATGAAGTCAATAAAATGAATACATATTTTCAAAAACCTATAAAAAACCAATAAAAAACAAACAAACAATCAGAACGATAACAAAATGCATGATTTAATTTGTTGAAACACTTGCCCCTACAACCTTGTGGAATCCTCCAAGTCCGACTGCACACACCAGAGAAAACGACAATTTCTACACATACTGCCCCTTTGGCAACGGGGGAAATCACAGTCAGACAAATGACATTTTTCGACCATTTGCCTTACATGTTGGAACAACCGGCGGATGGCTTCCTGCATGCACAAAATGCATCTGACCTGAACAAATGGCAAATATGGGGCAGGCTGTCAGCTCGTCCTCTGCCGTGAACGTTTTGTGCCTTAACGAGACCCACAGTCCATTTGAAAGAAGCCCTGGCTCTTAGCATTATGTCTTCCTCAATCGTGAAAAATCTTCCCAAATTTCCCAGAGGCTTTTAAAAGACCTGAAAGGGTCCACCTTGATGTTGCTACACGTAGGAGTTCTGCTACAGGTCAATTGTAATTCCTTAAAAAGAAGTTGGGTAACAGAACAAACATATTTTAATAACCTGCCACTGAATTGGTTTCAGTTTTTGATAAAAGTATGTACATATAGTCCTAAATTTAACGCAACATTAACACCTGAGTCTGTCAGGTTGCAAAGTGTTAATACACAGAGCCAGGTTCTAGTTGACCAAACACAGGCCAGATACATTCATGTCTGGCCTAGATGTAATTATGACAGTTATTAACAGCAAATTATCATGAATTCCCCGTGAAAACTTTGTGAATTAGATGTCTAGACAAGCTCAAGGCAATGCAAGTACCGTTACCTTATTGCACACTGAAGCTACTGCATGTATGCATCACTGTACTGACTACCAGCATCTCTCGCAATGTTTGAGTTCAGAAAACATGGAGGGTTCTTATCTACAGACTGAGTAACAGATACTATGACATGTTCCATTCCACTCAGCTTCACGTCAGGCTCATGGAATGGAACATCCCATTTGTCACCTCATGATATTACTCTCCCTACTGCACCTGCTTCAACATCCAGCTGTGAAGCAGTCACTTCTGAAACAAACTAGTTATGATATTCACCGCAAAAACTAAACCAAAATGACTAGCACCGCTAGTTTTCACACTCTACAAGAAAGTCGCATCTCCCACGATCCTTTGGGACATATTATTATTAATGTTACATCGCCAAGATCAAGTATTTCTAAATAAAAGTCCTCAATGATCTTAGTGCAATACAAGAACAGGCAAATGATATAATTTTCAGACCAGAAAACTAATCACCAAATGGCAGAAAATTTGGAATTACACACTGGGCCAGTCACGTTTCTTGGGGGATCATAAATATACACATCTTTGGACCACTACTTCAAACGAACAAAACATGAAGGCAGCCGCAATCAGGGTTTTATTGTTGAAGCCTTCATTAAGGTAAAGGTCAAAACAAATGGAATCAAACTCTGCCTCTGCCTGCATACTGGACAAAACAGTGACCCTGCCAAAGGTCACCCATACGTGCGCCTGTATTTCCTGGAAGACCTTCACTTTTAGCATGCCCCTGCCCTTCCACCCCGGAAGGGAAGGAGTTAATCATTTTCTAAATTACCCGCCATTTTCCCCCTCAGTTTTCTTGCCTTGATGGGGAGGTACTTGTTTGTCATCCTTGACCTCAGCTGTGAGGCCAGAATTTCATCAAGTTGACCCTACAGGCACCAAAAAAAAGAACCCAGAAATAAGCTAACAAACAAAAGAGTTCTTTTTTCAGTGGACACTAGACCTTGGTCATTTCTCCCAACCCACAAAGATCATTCTTAAACACTGTTCTCCCCTTGAAATGTATTAATGAGGGGCCTTGGCAGAAGATTTAAAAGCTGCTGGAGGTCAGGTGATAACAAAGCGCCATTGATTGGTCAGAAATGTTGAAAGCTCCACTCATCAGTCGGCCATCTAAAACTGGCAAGAGGGTGCCCATTGGATGCACTGGGTGAAGTGGACGGGAGAAAACAAGATGAATGCCCCAAGGTGGTTTGAAGAATAATAAGCCAACAAGAGCTTGCTTTGTATTTATGTGTTTATTGAAATGACAGGCTCGGTTTGGTTTGGTTTAATTATGGTTTAATTAGCTCAACAATAAACGACTCAAGAGCGTAACAAATACAATGCATGGTAAATGACATTTGCGTAACATTTGTATGTTAACTGTGCATCTAAATAAGCCTCTTGCAAGTTAAATTTTGATAAAATCTGGTACACTGAGTTCTTTAAATTCACATGAACATAACAATTTGAATTCTCCATACTAAAGACACTGTTGCTTTACCTCGTGATTCGGGGCAAGCTTATCCTTAGTTACATAAGAGACGCTTTGCCTTAATACACTGTTCTCAATGGATGAGAAGGGCACAAAGGAACCAGTCCATTCCAGATATGGTGGTCACTATGCAAAGGCTTGCCCCAAATCACTAGGTACAGCAGCAGTGTCTTCAGTCTTGGGAATTAAAATTATCATAGGTGCGATCAAATAACTTGATGTACTACATTTTATTTAAATTCAACTCGCAAAGGGCTTATTCACTTGCTGCCAAAATGTTAATGAACTCATATTTACTTATTACCATGGAAACACATTAATGTACACTGTACATGTACGGTAAATACATGTTTATTATTCACTTCGCTTCATTTTCTTGTAATTGTTATTCCCTCCTTTGACCAAACAATGTCAATCCATACAGCTACTGATAAGGGCTTTGAAAACCTCTTCTGTTCATGCAGACATCCAATCTTCATGTACATCCATGTTCTTGGAGGCATCCCGTTCTAAAATGAACAAGACTTGAACAAACTCTGAGTGGCTTTCCAATGCAATACCCTGAAGTCTGTACTGCACGAGGTACAACAGCTCAACCTACTGCTACTCCATCACAATTTTGGCTGGCTGTGATAGGACAGACTGTGTTCAAGGATGGAAAACACTAAGGGGTGTTTTGCAAACACCTGCTTCATCCCACCTTTGGTTTTTTCGAGATTCTTGTTTTATCGCCCAAACAGAGTTTACTCCAAGCAATGACATTTTCCTGAGAGATTACATGTATATATAGGTAACTTTATACTCCTGTTCTGCTGGTGAAAACTGTAAAACAGGGAAGACACTCTGCATTTTACAGGTTTTTCTATTCGGATGGTGAACCCAAAATTTAGTTATTGAAAACATTTCAGAGGAAGGGTTGCTAGTTTATTTCTGTGCATTAACACAACAATGAATGTCTAATGAAAAGAAATTTTGGCTTGAAAACTATAAATCTATAAAAACAGCATTCTTTACTGCACAAATCCATGTAACATTGAGGTTTTCTTCCCGGAATGACATCAGTTTCACTAATGAAAATCACGCTCGGCATGAAACCAGAGGTGCTCGAAAACACCCTTTGAAATGCAAAACAAAACCTGAAAATAAGGTTTATTGAGATACAGGAGCATTTTCAAGGGTAGCATTTAAGAAAAAAATGCCGTTAAGGTGGAATATGGAGGTACATGTATATCGATAATTCCACTGAAACGTGGCTTGTGTGTGTGCCACATCAAATGAGATTCTGCCACTTATCACACATATAGTTGACTTCAAAGAAACAAGGTAAAATTTACTACCAGATAATTTCAAAACACTAATGAAGCCTGTACTCAACATCTACAGTAAGTGTACTGTTGATAAGAATTAAGAACAGGTAATGGTACATGTACACTAACGAACATGTACGTGGACATGTACCATACATGTACATGTAGGCCTATATGTACATAACAGGTACATGTATTTCTTAGCTAAAGAAACTAAGATTTTAACAATCCAATTCAAATCTAATTCAAAGTTGAGCCAAAACATTAAATACCCCTTCTGTTGGAAGAATTAGCTATTGCCACCTGAATACACAGTGCATTTTCTCCCTTTTAATAATTGATAGAAATGACCAATGCATATTTACACTTGGCCAGACTGTCTTGTCCAGCTTCTGGCCTTGCTCTGTCTGGTCATCACATTAGTCACCCACAGGCAGCTGGACACAAGGCCATCCTGCCAATAGGCAAATACCTCATTAGCATACAGCCCAAGGCCAGCCAACCAGAGGCAACTGGCCAGGCTCATTAGCATTCTCCACCAAGGCTACCCAGCCAATGGACAAAGAATATGGGGGGACCCTCCAAATAAGCAACCAATGGGAACACAGCCCA